GATTTACAGTGGTTTATTGCTAGGATCTTGGTTTTGAACATTTTTCAGTGATTATTGATGTTTTAGATTGAGACACTTTACACAAATTTATTACTAGTTGCAGTGAAGAGTGTTCTTCCACATCAAACTAGTGTTTAGGTTTTTTTGAAAGACATTAAGAAAAACATAAGGCAGGTATTATATAGTCAGCTGTATCCTACAGCTATTAGTGGCCTGTCACCGAGTGTGGATTAGTTTTGCCTCTCTGTAGACTAAATTATATGAATATAGAGGAACTTTCTGGGCAGAGACAGGCAATGCTTGGACTAGAAAATAAAAATATTGAGATTACACTGATGAGAGAGCTTACACATGAAAGTGGCCTCTCTTAGCTGACTTCACCCTTTTCAAAATTACATTCCCCACCTGATGGCAAGAGGATTTATGACACTGTAAAATTGCCATCTGAAGGTAGTAAATTTCTTCCTGTACATTTTAAAAAATGATGGAAATGATGAATTTTTCTCTAAATGTCAGTAGAAGTTTAGAATGCTTGAAAAGATGTCTTTTGTGAAGAAAATTTTATATATATATATATATATATATAAATATTTAACATAATTTGTAATGAGGAAAAAATGGTAGCAAGTTAGAAGGCAACATACTAAATTATTATAGACTTACTTGGCCTTACATTCAAAATAGAAAACTGTGAAAGTAAAATTTTTAACTAGCAATTGAAAATCCTGTTCCTACTTCATCACTCAAGGGATAGACAGAATATTCCCAAAAGGCTTGTGTTGAATTCTTCATGTAGGTGAGAAATGCAAATAGCTCACAGCAGTGTTCTCAGGAGCTCTTTATTCAAATTGTCAGTTTTGTGGCTCCTGTTTCTTCTTCCATTGGTTTTACTGGTAATTATTGAAGCTATAATATTGAACGTGTATCTGTAGCTTACAGCAAACTAGCCAGAGAAAAACTGTGACAAGGAGCAACTGGGTTTCTATTTTTTTTTCTCTTTTGGGATGATGCTGGTGGTGAGCAGCTATTTTTTTTTTCCCTTATAGTTTTTTCCCCTTCTTTCTGTGACTCAGAGAACTGATTATAGAGTAAATGTAGGTTTTTTTCACACTGGTTTCATAACTGTCTAGTTGAAACCATGTCTTATTTGAAAATAGTCCTCATACTTTATAGAATGCCATATACCAGCATGTTCTTACACCTGTTGGAAGCACCAGTGAACACTGTACTAAGATAACTCACAAGTGGCTTATTGAAGTTCTGTGCAGATTGGGAAATCTTCACTGGTTTTGCCCCATATAAAGTCATAGTATTGACAACATTTTTTAGAAGTTTTAGAAGCTCTAGGAAATTCCCCCATCTCCTCTTTTCTTCCCTCTCCAAATTCAGGACTTCTTTCTTCATTTTGAAACTTCTGTCTACTAATAACTAATGTGAACGTGAACTAATTGAGTGAGGATAGTCCTCTATCATATAGCTATGTGTTAGTGCAAATGTAGCAGATTCAGTTTTAATTTAAAAGTATTCTTAAAGAAAAACCATGACGAAATAACATCAGTAAGCAAAATTATAAATGAAAGCTTGATTGCAAAAATATCTCCAAGGCCATGTAGAGGTGATTTAGTTAAATGTGTTTGATATCTTACAAGTAGCACAAATACTGAAAAGATTTGGTTATTATAATTTTTTTTTAAATCCTAATTAAAAATGTAGGGTAGTACAGAAAGCTATCTTCTGTATTTAAAGTAGCTGCTTAAAATTTTGTAGAAGTAGTTCAGAAGAAAAAACAAGTAAGTCTTTGGATTAAGCAATGGCTCATTTTAAGGCTGTTGGCATAGAAGACTTTGTTATTAAGAATAAAAACAATGCTGGTATATTGAACAAGAGTGAACTTTCTGAGGAACAATTATAAAATTGTGTGTTAGATGCTGAGAATTAGGACACTTATTCTGTAGATATAATTTTGTGTCTTTCATTTAGAAGGATTTTTGCTGCGGACATTTTTTTAGTAAAGGACCCTCTCATAGTTAACATAATGTTCCTGGAGTAAGCTTTTTCAGCTTGAATATGTAATTTGGAAATGACCAGTTATTTGTAAACTTAGATGAAAACTGTAGTGATTATCTTGAATATATTAGCTGCAAGAATTAAATTACTAATTAGATAAGTGTCTGCCACCACTTTTAATAACTGTGGATATCAGAGAGCATGGCATCAGTACTGCTGCTTTGTGGCAGTAAAAGCAGCCCTTGAAGCAATGGAAATTTCATTCTTTATCAGCTAGAGTTCTCCCCTTTTCTGTGTTCTGTTTTGACACTGAATGCATTTGAAACTGATGCAGACATCTGTTTGCTAAAAATTTAATTAGTACCACTGTCCTTTTTCAGCCAATTGAGATCTCTTAATCTAAGAATTAAAGAAGAATCCTACCTTTACAAATAAACCTAGAAAAGGTCATACCACCACTATACCCTTAAGTTTTCAGTGTTTGTGAGTAAGGCTGGTTCTACTCATTCTTTCTGGTCTTGACCAGACAGTGACAGTTTATACACAGTTGTCAACTGAATTAGGCAAACCATATGTACTCCCACCACCCTCCTGTTTGTGGGTGTCAGTGTACAGGAACAGAAGTGGGTACTTTCTCTGCTTGGCATCCCTCAACAGCGTGGATCCAAAAGATGCAACTGGCTGCAGAACTGTTTTGCTAGTCAACAAGTACTGTACCCCACCCACATTTCTAACTAGCAGATGGTGAGGCAGGCCTGTAGAGCATGGTGAGGGATTTCACTACATCTCTTAAAAGTAAATAAATAATATTTGAAAATCCTATTAAAAAAAAAATCTAAATTACAGTATGAATTAGCCATAAAAGTATAGCATCGTATAAGTATGGGATTTTATATTTGCTCTAAAACTTTCATGGTCACCTTAAAAAATATTACTTTGCTAATTTAAAGTATTTCTTAAGCATGGGACACTATTTTTTATGGTGTTGGTCATCCTAATGCTCTAAATATCAGAGACTTCTGACTAAGACTTTTGTTCTGGAAGAAAAGATCAAATAGTACTCTGCTGCAAGTCCTCCTTTTGATTAAAAAAAAGGAAAAAGAAAAAGGCATTAGATGTGCATTTAGAACACGAAATCTTTCAGCATGAATAAACAGAACAAATTACTTCATTAACTTCCAGCTATTGTGCATTTGTGTGAAACCATGCTAAAACTACAACTTTGTCAGCACTATATTCTTTCTGTGATTTCCAAATCATAGTATTATTTTTTTCAAGTCTGTTTGCTCTGGACATCAAGCAAGGTTCTTCTCTGCTGTTCACAAACACAAGATTCTGCAGGCCAGCTAATGGGTGCTTCTGTTTCTCTCTTGATTGTATTCAACTTACTCTTCCTGTGAGTGCTATGCATTGTGTGGCATTTTGCATAGTTACATAGATTTGGCTTGAATAATCTCAATTTGGTATTTTAATATAATTTAGTCCTTTAAAAATAGTCATTTTTAACTTGATCTCTATGCATGAAAATTATCACTAGAATGAAAGACTGGAATTCAAGTCAGATTTATTTTTCTGGATAGGAGCATGCTTAGAACTTTACAAAGACAGGGACTTTGCCTTACTGAGCTCACCATCTATCTAAGTTGCTATACTGATGTTTGCTCTAATAGACACTTCTAATACATAAAAATGAAATTTCCACAAAGTCGTGAGTTAGTGTCACAGACAGTGTGATTGCAGAAATGCTGTTATGTTCTAACACGATATTCAATATCCCATATTCCACTCTATTGTTACGTAACAGCAGCAGAAGATTCAAGAAAAATTGCTAATTAGGTTTCCCTCAGGAATCTGTATCTCACTTGATCAATTTTATCAGAAGTGTGTGACCTGTCAGTTTCTCTCACCTTCCTGCACTGTGACCTCTGTTCTGCCTTTCTATTCTGTTAAATTAATTTAATTTATCTTATTATAATTTATCTTGGGACTTCGTCCCATTTATTTTAAAAATCCGTTTTCTGCATTTTATACATAGCAGCAGGACATCTCCTAGCATCATTAATTGAATTTACACAGTACCTCTCAGCTCCAAAATAAGGCATTTTACCAAAGATATCAGTAGTATAATTATGGAGTTGATATAGTGGTTCCAAATTCTAAGCTGAAGGGGGTAATGTAAACAAGTAGGTTTTCAAGTTGATTTTCAGATGAAAGAAGTCAAGTAGTTTTTGTATCTCTGAATGATTACAGAGAGAAAAAAATAAGTGAAAAAAACCCTCAAACCGCATCCTGTGATATGACTCTTACATACTGCTAAGACTTGACCTCCAACATCAGAATATACCTACTAATATACTGAAGAAATTAGAAAAGGGAAGTGGAGTCTGAAATTGCTGCCTTCTTCCATTTGCTTTAAATGGATCTTTACAATATTTTTTTGTATTGTCATCTGAGTGTCCACGCTGCATCCTCACACAAATGCATTACAGCAGTTTTAAGAGGATGAAAATGATACAATGAGTAAAGTTTATTGACTTACATTAATAGCAAACCTGTATCCATTAGCATTCTAAATATGGGAGTTGAATTTAAATCTTTCTGATATCTGAATTACAAGACAATGTGATATACTTATCTATTCTCTAGTCCATTTTATTGAAATGCCATCACTGTAAACAAGTTCTAAATCCTGTAGTTCACTTGTATCCATTAAGTCCAAAGACATAAAATGAGTGGAAAGGACAAGCGAACAACATAAAAACCACTAGTGTTATGAGAAGAACTTCAGTAGAGGTCGAAAAACTATTAATTGTGCTTCCTCTTAAAGAATTTGGCTGATAAAGGAAATAAATGCAGCCTTTTGAATGTAATTGTGTGTGCTCTGAAATTATGTTGTAGTGACTAATTAAATATTGGGTGGGGTTTTTTAGAAAATAAACCTTCTTCTAGGTGAATTCATTCAATGCTTGTGACTTGCATTGCTTTCTACTTAGTCCTGAAGCTGTAAAGAGTGAGCCGTATGGAGAGAAGGCTGATGTCTGGGCTGCAGGATGCATCCTTTATCAGATGGCAACTCTGAACCCACCATTTTACAGCACCAATATGCTCTCCTTGGCTACTAAGGTATTCAGATTTGCGAGATCAATGTACCAGTTATTTCTGCATGTGTTCGCCTGATCTGTGGGACTTTGTTTAAGGTTATAGGTGCACAAACTGCTCTCAGTTCTAATGTGTGAATGAGCACAAGTATTTATCACTGTGTGAGTTGGTATCTTGCCATTCTAATTGCAAAAATTGCTTGTAAATATTAATCTCTTATTACCTCTCAGACTAGCATATTTTACTCATTGCATTTAGTGATAGGAGCTTCAGATATATAAAATTGCTTGATGTAATAATATTGGATTTTCTACAGCGTTGTGTATCTACATCTTCGGAAGATTTCATAAATTAAAATAAATAATTGGGGGTTTGTGTTTATTGTTTCCTTGATTTTGATATTGTAGCACTTTAGTCTGCAGTGATTATATACATTAATGTGGATACCCTATTGGAAGTGATATTCTGCATTAGAAGATGTGTTCTAAGTTGTTTTGCAAGTTAGAGCTGATGATGTGATGCCCATCAATAAAGAAACAATATTTATCATATGGGATCTTGAAATAAATAATGGAGTGTTTTTCTTCAACAAACTATAGATTATTTATTTTTCAGATAGTAGGGGCTATGTATGAACCTGTGCCAGAAGGACTGTACTCTGAAAAAGTGTCATTTACCATTAAGAGGTAATTACTCATCTCATTTTATTTCGACATCCTTCTGAAAAGATGTTTTTGTTTTCTGTGCTTCCAGCAGAGATGATGTGACAGTTTGCAGACTTAAGCAACTGCCAGTATTTGTCTCTGAAAAGGAAATATCTTTAGATTTAAGGAAAAACAGAGGTATCTCCTTACCTCAATAATAACATCTACAATACAACTGCACACATGCAACAGGAAAACATACGAGTATAGTCAGCACATTCATTTAGCCAGTATACTCTTTAGATTTTTAAATTTAACAATATCAGCACTGGAGTTAATTCCCTACACATCAGTTCTTATCCCCCATGAAAATAAAGCATTTTGAGCAATATTCAAATACAGATTATGGTCAAGGAAGTACCCCAGTTACAATATATTATTTATAGATCACTGTGTGATCACATTCATAGTTTTTCTGTTTATTTGACTGATGGAAATATGTTTTCCACTGCCTTATAATCCCCTTAGCATGATAGCAGAGATAACAAAGCAGAGAGAATGCAGTAATGGAGGAAAAAATGAGACTGTATTTGTTCTACTCACTCATCACATATTTCTCTTAGCTATGTTTACATCTTTCTGGTGATAATGTCATGTGTAAAGCAAAGCACAGAGTGAAGTGGAGATCTAGCTCCCTTGATTTTTTCATTTTAAAAAAAGCCCCACTTAGCACAAACATGCTTATACTTTCTCAGATATGCAATTCCATCTCTAAAAAAGCACTTAACTGTACAAAGACTAAGGGTTTTATACTTTGTTTTGTTGTACAAAAAGGTTTCTATTATTTAAAGACCCTGAGAATGAAGGACAACAATGGCGAGTATAGGTGCTAATAGTACTAAAATTTACGTTTAGGAGATTTGGAAATTAATTTTAATGAAAATATTAAAATTTTTATATTACCTAATGATTTCTCTACATATTTTAATAGCATGAGAAGTGTAAAGTGTTGTTTGTTTTTATTTGTTTTATTTTTAATATTATCTCTTACTATGGGTTAATTCTTAAATTAAGGCTTTGTTTAAGTTGTGAGATATTTAGAAAGAATAAGGAACATTAAAGAAAAGCAGTAATAATGAGATTTTAGTTATAATATATGTGAGGAAAAATTAACAGAAAAGGAGCTATTTTTGAATGACTGAAACACAATACATATTCAAAGATGAATGTCAAATAGAAAAATAATTTCTTGATCATGATTAGAAAAAACATTGAAAGCTTAATGTTGCAACTGTAAATTTGCATTTAGCGTTATTATTCTTCTTCAGTATTGTTATTAAAATACAGTTTTATTGGATTAAACTACAAAAGAAAGTTCTGGAATCATAATCACCGAAGTTTTTCAGAGCTGAACATCAATCTAGTTGGTGTTTAGTCATAAATCATTTCTAGATGCATGGGAAATGGAAATAGAATTCATGAGAAATGTATTATAGCTCACATTATTCTGGGAAATTTTGACCAATTTCAGTGGACTAAAAAGAAAAAATTAAAAAATCCCAAACAAGAATATTTCTTAAGGGTGAAAAACTTGCATCTCTTCAAAAGAAATATAAAATTTCAAGTAAAACAGATTTTAAAAGTTATGAAAATTATTTATTGTATTTGAGAGAATTTAAACAAAAAAGATTAAAATCAAGGAGTTCAAGTATTGTAAAATATTTTCAGAACTGCTACTTCACATGGCAGTTGTGTTTTATTTAAAACTGTTTTTAAAATAATAAACCATTCTGTGACTTTCTTTAAAGAAGAGTGTTGGGTTATGTGTGCTAGCAGGTCAGTAGTACTCTGTAGGGAAATTGTAGTAAATTATCAGGTTCACTGGACTTAAGATTTAAGAGTTTTGTAGTGCATGCAGAACTGTCCCTATCAGCTTTTCTGTCCTACATTGCATACAAAATATTCTGGGGATTTAAAAATAGACCTAATAGTATATTATTTCAGTCACTAAACAGCTACCTAGGGTGCCTGAAACAAGAACCATAGAACTGTAAAGTAATTTAGATTGGAAGGGGCCCCTGGAAGTTGTCTAGTCCTGAAGTCCTTTGTTGTAACAATACGATCTCTCACTTCTCTTGAGATTTTTAACTCCACAGTCTGATGGCTGCTGTAGCCAAGGCTGTCCTTAATCTTCACATCCTTGTCTGGTTCTTCCTTGTCTGTGAGCAACAGATCTGGCAGAGTGCCTTTGCTAGTTAGCTTCTGAATCAGCTTCACCAAGAAATTGTCATCAGCAGATTCCAGAAGTCTCCTGATTGCTGCAGTCAACCATTCCATCAGCAGATATTAGGGTGGTTAATAGGCCCCAATGAGTATGAGTGTCTGCCATCACAAAGCTTCCTCCATCTGTCCAACAAAGGCTTCATTGACTTCCTCTTTGGTTTTATGTGGTTTATAGCAGGTGTCTACCACAATGTCACCCATGTTGGTCTGTTCCTCTGATCCTCACTCGTAAGCTTTTGACTATACACAGTCAGGTTGCACCCACCCTGACCTGAGCCTTTCCTCCTCACTGATAGAATTAAGGAGATCACCATCTCTGTTCAGTGTCCTTCACACTTGATCCCAGTGCACTGTAGTTACTTTCAGTGTGTTCAGAGTCGACCCTGATAGTGTTATTTGTGCCCATATGAATGAACAGCAAGAAGTAATAGCCCAAGGGTCAGGATGAATCAGTAGTATCTCCACAATGTCCTGAGTCCAAGCAACAGACATCACAGACATCAAATCAGATCAAGTAGATGGATGCCTCTGTTCCTCAGCCTCAAATGACTGTCAGCTACTGCATCTTAGTTGTGATGTGAACTCTTGATTCAGACTCACCTGGCTCTGATGTGTCCTCCATTAGGTCTTATTCTTCCTCACCTTTTGCTAGGTCACTATACCTATTCTGTAATTATATATCTGTAGTCAGAGGAAAAGCCTTCCTTCTCTTGGCAGAAGTCACAAGTCTCCAATCTAGCTCCTCTTGGGAGCCTCCATCCACTGATTCTTTGAGGGTAAGCTCTAGATTTTCCTCCTTCTTTGCATTGTTTTGAGAACATTGTTTGTCTCTGCAAAGTCTCTGTGAAAATCGTGACTTTCTCCTGTAAATCCTTCTGACAACACACTCCTTCACAGATGCTTTGTTCAGTGGTGCAGCTCCTTGACTAGAGCACAGTCGCCACAAGGGAGGCAATGTCTCTCCCAGTCCCACGAATAGGCCCTGGGCACTCCCTAGTGTGTCTGGGGGTGCACAGCTGCAGCCCCTAGTTGCAGTTTTGTCTGGATTGGTGCCAAGGATAATTGTTCCAGCTGATACCAGGGGCTGTGCTGTGGTATTTCAACAAGGCTGCACAGCATCAAACTCCCATGCAGAGTGAACAGAGTGCTGGCCTGCATGACTCCATAAATACCAGTGGAGAAATACAGTGGTGAAAAATGTTTTTTTTTTTTTTTTAGAAATAAGTAAATAGAGGATATTATTTCTGTAGCTGCTTGACTCCTGATGCAGAGGCACGTCCAGACATAGTGGAGGTCAGCTCACTGCTGTCTGATGTTATGATGAAATACCTGGATGTTCTATCCACCTCTCATCTCATGTTGGAGAAGAAACTGGATCAGGAGAGAAGACGAACCCAGCAGTACTTCCTGGAGGCTAATCGAAATGCAGTAACCTGTCACCATCAGCTTTCCATTTTATCACAAGTAAGTACATGTATTAGACTTTATTTTTTCTTATCATTGTTTGCCATATCTGAGAAAATAACAAAGCAGAAAATAAATCAAAATGAATCCTCTTGTAACATTTTTCTGTGCAGGCTCTTTAATTTATTTTTAACAAGGTATTCATTAATATTTTTTTTGCACATGCTTATGCAGGAAAAATGACAGTGTCTTAAAAACCAGTATCATTCCATGTTGGAAAATGGCATTGTTATGGAGGTTCTTGCAGTTTTGATAATATCTGATAACATTTAATTATTATTGCAGCCTTGTGAATGATTTGTGAATAGGAGAATATACACCTGGTTAGGGTGGAACGAATTGATAATCTTGTGTATGATTCATAAACGATGACACCTAGAAAATGGAACTTACACAAATATAATTTTTAAATACAGATTGCTAAATACAAACCCTTGATGCTGATAAGGTGTTTGCTCATGTTTTCTAACTGCCTGATACAGTTCTGCAGAAATACTTCTTGCAGTTCTTCCATTTGCTTCAGGCTGTGTTTTAAGCACCCTTCATGAAGGACATCAGTATTTTACATAATGAACCAAACTTGTATATGATCTCAGAGAATTTATTTAGAAAATACAAGGATAATGTTTCTGTGTAGCAAAAGCGCACTGTGAAAATTATTGTTATGGTAATTGCAAAGCAAAGTTATAATTTACACAGCCACTCTTGTCTGTTCAGAAGTTGAATCTATTAGATTCCTTTTGTCAGAGTTCAGTAGTTTGCACTGAAGAAATTCTGTGTAGGAAAAAGGTTTTCAGGAACACAATTTGGTCCCAAACTCCATGGTCTTTATGTTCCTGGCTAAATGTAGCACTTGTAGAAATTGTTAATATTTTTTTTCAATAGTTTTTTGACCTATCAGTCTAAGATCATTATTTTTATTATACCCTTTTTTTTCAAGGAGAAGAATGCCAAAAACTTCCAGAAAACTTTTAACAAACCACTCCTTTTTGAAATGTAAGAGGTATTAGGGTGCAAGAAAGATACAGAACAGAATTTTTAACTTAAAACAGTACAAGCAATTTCTTTCCATTTTTTTTTTTAATTTTCTTACCCTACACATTTGGAAGTTTGTTGTATTTCATTATTTTTTCGTATCTTGATATAGTCATTCTCTTGCATAACTGTGATGAAATTTGCAAAAAAATGTGCTATAAACGGAAAGATGCTAGATTTGGGATTTACATGCAATTATCTTGTCTTTAGAGAAGAGTCCCCTATCCAGACGTTTGTAAGATATGGTAGAACTGATAGTTTTTCATAGAAGGTTAGAGTACTTCTGTTTTGTATAAATACTTTGAAAATACACCTATCTACAAAAAGAAAAGAAAAATGCCTCTGTATTTTGGGTGATAATTTTGGGTGATAATTTCTTCTTGAGGAAGAAATACTGTAGTTCTAGTTCCACTCCAGTAGATATTTTATTTTGTATATTAAGGGAACATGAGATTCTGACAAAGAACCAGAGGGGAATATAGCTTAGTACTGAGAAGTGGGAGACCTAACTGTGTGTCCTTGCTGTAAATAAGATAGAATAAACAGGCTAGGATCTTCCAAATTTCAGGGGAGTGCTGCAGAGCTTAGAAACAGAAGGAGCCATGTTGTTTCTTTCTTCCCAGTACTTTGGAAAATTTTATGAAGTTGGAGAATTTCTAACGAAGAGAATAATTTTTCCTGAAAAGTTTGTCTTTTGAAAAAATAGGCAATATTCTGACTAAAAGTGCTAGGAAGAATTTCAAGCAGCTGCTCCTGAAATAAAAACTCTGTGAGGTATAGACAGCCTAATTCATCTTAGTCAAGGCCCCAGCTATTCCACAGCCAAGTAATTTGTCATTTTTCCATGGTGTCAGAGAATTCGGTGTTTCTGCCATGTAGTTCACTGTTTTGTTGAAGCCAACTATCTTACACTTTGTTTTCTCTACTGAAATGTACTTATGGCCTCCTTTTTCATCCCAGTTGTGTCATATTGTGAATGTTTCTGAAATAAGGACTGTACTCTCTGTCCTGCTTTGTGGAACTAAGCAACAGAGATCTTTTGGAACCAGAGCGGAATCTGTTTTATCAGTATTGTAAGACTAGTTTGTAAGCAGGTAAGTAGGCAATTGAAAGGCATGTCAATAGATGATGTTGAAGTATAGTTATCTTGTGTGATAAGTGTAGCATAAAATCCATGCTTGAAAATAATCCTAGTAAAAAGAATCATTATCATCTTCCCACATAAATTCTTATTTTTTGTTGTTTTCCATAGAAATTGTTGTTTATGTCAGAACAGAAGCAGATGTATGGGTGACAGGTCTTTAATAAAGTTAGTGTGTTCAGCTCTGAAAGGTTAAGGTTGCTGACATTATACAGGATAAAAAGGACCCAACAAGTAGTAATAATGGCAATAATTTTCTCTCACATTGTACCTCTCATTTCAAGGTGATCAATATTACATTTTCATGTTCAGGGTAGGAAGAGGTGGAGAGGAAAAAGGTATTTTATGTAAGGTCATTGAACAGACTAGTGGCAAACCTGAGTTTTCTGTGTTTCAAGGCAAATAAGAGTCTCAAAACAGTAGTTGATCTAACTAACAAATTATCTTTCTAGTGTTGTCCTTTGAAGAAATGAGTGTGTAGCCAAATAGTAATTTGATTTCTTTTTTGAAGTATATAGATTTGAAAAATTTGTTTGGTCTGTTTAGAAAAAGGTGAAATAAGTCACTTTTCTTACTTTGGAAATATGTTTCATTACATGGGCATCATCCATGATTGTTTCATCTAGCATATATCCTGAAGTGTTTTTAACTTTTTTTCCATTGCCATATTTTTAATGTAAAATATAAATATACCTAAAACAATATAGAATGATGAATATTCAGATCTGTCCTGTCTTTTGAATGTGGTAGAGAAAAATGTAAGTTTTATAATTGGAGTCTGTCAGCTAAAAATATATAACAGAATATGAGCCATTTGTACCTTCTGCTACTCTCAGAGAATATATTAAAAATGGGCAGACATGATAGACTACCTGTCTGATCAGAGCAACTTCCTTTTCTTAGTTTCTGTAGTACTGATTCGTGCATGTGGCACACATATTCTGTCACATTTTTTCTCTATACCAGCTAATACCATGTTCTTTAATTTTTGTATTAATAATGTCACTAAATATTCATTTCATTTTTAAATTAATCTATGCAAATCCATATATTCAGATCAAGTAACCAGTTAAGCAGAGTAGAGGGAAACTAAGATGCTTAGGTAATGGGAAAAGTAAGTCCAACTTTTTTTCTGAGTGTAGTCTGGTCTATGGAGTGGATCCACATTCCAGGTTAGTCAGGGCTAACAGAGTGTCAAAAGTCATTCACAGCACTTGGTCTGACCTGGTCTATTTAGGTGACCCTTAGCTGAGTGCTTTGTCCTAATGTTCAAGTGCACAAGAACTCTTATTAGCCAGGCTGCTCTCTGCATTTTTTTTGTTTTCACACCTGGATGGGTAAGTCTTCCCCTAACCCAGCATGCTGGGGGGTTGTGGCATATAGGCCACGGTGAGTCATCTTCCGTTTAGATTGGATTTTTAGCTGCAGGTCAGCACTGGCCCTCCCAGGCTAATCTGTAGGTATCAAGGTGCTGTGCTTCTGGTGGACGATGCTGCTGCTGCTGGAAAACACACTGATTATTCTGTTTGCAGGCAGCCTGGCTACTGCCTATGCTAAGAAGCCTGCCTGCCTCTCTCCTGCAGAATCTGTTCAACTTGTTATTGGTTAGAAATACTGAAAGAAGCAGCATAGCTGTTTTCAAACAGGACTATATCTAAATGACTAAATCTGAACTAAAGAGCCTGGCCAGACCTGGAATGGCTGATGGGAGTTTCCTGGCTTCTCTTTGTGACATAACCCTTAATAATCTACCTCTAGATGATTATGAGTTGATTGCATTATGTCTTTTCTGGATTGATTTAGCAACATGAATGAGTCTTGAGAAATGCTGGGATTTCTTTCTATGCCCCTTCTATCACAAAGACCATAATGTAAGTAAATGTGAAGTCTTTTGTAATGATACCTGTAAATAGAGACCATGCTACTGTTACCAGTCTTCTTCATCCACAGGAATGGATTTATCTTTTTCTTCATCCACAGGGATCTGTGACCAAAGGCTGAAGGGTTAGAGATCATGATTTAAGAATCTGTACTTTTGTAACCACCCTGCAGGCTACTGGCAACTCTTGTAATTCACAGCAGCCATCGATTTCCTCACAAGAAAGAGGACAGGATTGCAGCTATCTGAAAGACAAAGAAACACAAAATGATTTAGCTGCTTTTTCACCAAGTCATTTCCCCCCACACCCAAATTCAGTTCTGCTCTGTTGGCAATTGTTGTGCTAATAATCATGTTAGTTTCTAAGCATCACCACATGCATTACAAAGTAGTACTTAATTAGCAATTCAATTTGAATTAATCAAGTTTTTTTATTAACTCAGAAAAAGACATAAAGATTGGATTAATGTTCATTTTAATTTCCTTTTTCTTTGTGTTTAGAAATAGATTTTGTGCAATTCAGCCTTTTGGTGCATAAAAGATTTTTTTTTTTCTTAAAACAGCCATGTATGTGTGCAGCAACTGCTTTTGAATCAGTTGAAGCAATGACTATGCTTGGTTTTAAAACACTTAGAAGGCAACAGGTTATTAATATTGCAGAAATAGAGTCCTGTATTTATGTTAGATTAGAATATTAAAATATTTTTATTAAAATTTATTATTAAAATGTATTAAAAATGTATTTAAAAACTGGGTGATAATGACTGTGCACTGCTGCATACAGTTCCCTTTGGAAATGAGTGAGGACTCGGGAATGTCATGAAGACTTAACATTCCACCAATTCTTTCCTTCTTCCACCTTTCACTCCACTGACACCATTCTGTTTTGACATTTATGTAGCAGGTACTAGATTTAAAGTTTAAATGTTAGAAATGTTGGCGTGATAAAAAGAAAATAACCTTTTTAGATTTATACTGTGTATGTTTGGAGAATAGAGTAATGATATAAAAACTGTTTTGCAGGTATATTTTTTTTAAGTGTTGCTGAACGTAGAAAATAGTCATCACAGCCAAATTACTACCTGTGAAAACATATGATCAGACTCTTAAGGACAAACTCATAATATGCTTAATTCAGCTTCAATTTGTTCATACATCTAAATACTTTAATAGAATTACTGGATATAAGGCGGGAAGAGTTGTCAGAGATTATCGTGTCCCTCTGAGCTTTAGAGCTACCTGTCATTCCTGGCAGGTATTTGACCAGTCAGTCATAAAAAAGTCATGTGATAGGAACAGTTTAGAAACAGCAGAGATGCACAAACTGTCTTTACAGTCAGCAGTCACATCTGATTGAGTCTTTCTTTCCATTTGAAGATAACATCTAGGAAATGATGAAGATGCCTGAAGCATCCTGGGCATACCCACAGCACATATACACTGTGCTATACACAATATCTAAAGTTGGTCTGATGCTTGCAGAAAATTTTGGTCTTACTTTGTATACTTGACAGAGTAGATATGATATGCATGTCTTGTTTCCAGGAGATACTAGATGTACATCTGCATGTGCACTTGACATTTTCAGATCCAATCTTAAGTGCCATAAAAGCACTCTGAGAGCACTAAATCCAGAATATCCCCAGGACACTGCATTTGCTGAGCACATTCAGACCAGTTACGTTGCGTATGAACACTTATTTCTCTCTTCAGGATCCCAGATAGAGGCAATAGTTGAACACTTGATTACTGAAATTGTCCTCCTGACAGTGGAAATATGTAAAAGTTATGTCTTTTCTCTTTTATGTTGGTTCCCCTCTCTGTGATTTTTTTTTTTAATACGGACTGAATAATAAAAAATGTGGAGAGACAGGAAAAGAAAGAAATGAAAACAATCAGAGGTCTACAAAACACGACTTAAAAAGTAAGATTGACATAATTTTAAGTGTAGTGTTCAAAATTGTACCTGATTACTCCAACTGAGAATCTTATTGGTATCAACTAGAAAGAATAAACAATTCTTTGGAATTATTCTTTATACATCCCAGTATGATGTTCACCTTTTCGTAACAGCATGGTGTTGTTGAGTCATATTCTGTTTCTCATCCATCAGAATCCCCATATCTTTTCCTGCACAGCTTCTGTCTGACCAGTCTTTCCCCAATCTGCACCTTTGTACAGTTGTTCCCCATTGCTCATAGAACTCTGGTTTCTCTCTATTTAAACTTCGTAAGTTCTTTTAGTTTCTCCAGTTTCTCAGAACTTTCTTTGACACCTATTGTCAGTTTTACTGACACAGCTCTGTGTATGATGTATATGCTGCAGGATGATATATGATGTGAATGTATCGCAGTCTAGGCACCTTTAACAGGCACTCTAGCTATCCATTATTCAGATTATCATTGTAATTCAGTGACACCATTGAGTTGTTTTGGAACAAGGTCAAAAAGGATCCTGAAAAATTGTGCTCGCTACCCATTTTCAGTGTAACAAACACTGGAAGCGCTTACCAAGTTGAGTACAATTTTTATGGTCAATTATACAACTAACTGATCATGATTTTGTCTAGGTCACACTTCCCTAGCTTTCTTCTAAGATGTCATTAAAAAACATTGTCAAAAGCCTTGCTAAAACTCTTATATATAACATCTACTTCTTGTTCCTAATGCACAAGAACTGTTACCCTCTTACTGAAAAAAATACATTGTTTTAGCATGTTTTTTCCCCTGACAATTTCATGTCAGCTATTATTCATTTTATCGCTAACTGGTAGGTTTTTACAAATAGTTTAATAGTGGAAATAGTTCTGGTTTTTTTTCTTGAAATAGAAATTCAATTGATTAGCATAATGCTGTAATTGTAAATGTCTCAAATAAAGAAGATTAATTAAACACTGTTTGCAAATGCCACTAGAGAACTCTATATTTCTTGAAGATAGAAAAGTTAATTCTTCTGGACAGTAATATGACAAAACAGAGCTAAACAAAAGATCGATATCTTTATTCTACTTGGGTTTGTTAGATTTTTTTAGATTTCCACTGGAAGTCAAAAAGAGCAATTTAGGCTTCACTTATCCAAAAATTAGGTATAACTTGAGTTTACAGTAGTAATGGTGACCAATGAAGAGACAAATGTACAGGATATGGATGAAGATAGAATTTTTTCTTCATGGCTAGGACACAAGTTTCCAGAGATGCTTTTGCTCAGTAATAAAGATAGATGAATGCTGGAAAAAAAATTAATTGGTTCATTATTTGAACATTTCTTTGCAGAGGGACTTATTTCCCCTTAGCTTTTGTTTTCAACTGTGTTTGTTTGTACTAGAAGGCAGAGTTTGTTTCAACAAAAGTGGCAATCAATCTGATGCTTGGGGAAACTGAGACACTAGTTTATTACGAAAATGTGAAAATAAACTGAATCAACTGATGGAATCTCCATAAAGATTTGTAAAATACTGGAACGCTAGAATCAAGTGTAGGTATGAGCATAGTTCAAATGAATATGTATCAACCTAAACATTCAAACTCCTCTTTGAATGTTTGTGATGTTTTGAATATGCCACTGTTTCATAGATTTCTTCAAAAGATAAGTATCTGTCTACTTATCTGAAAGAAGTATGTCTGAGACTTTGAGGCATATGAAAATGATTGCTTCACTGTGTTGGAGAAAAGTTTCTCCATCCTCTTCTCATAAAATTATGTCCATATGTAGATCCTTATGTTCCCCCTCCAATGGTGACCAAAATCATTGAACTTGCATCGCAGCCTCCTCTAGTCGGGGTACTTTTGTCCCTCTAAATCATCCAGTTGTCTTACTCAAAAAAAGAAAAAGCAGTATATAATCTCATTTTTGAAACTTATTAGCTATTTTCTAGGTGGAGCAAAATATACACAGCAAATGTATTTATTGCTCTCAGATTACTAATGAATACTATAGTTTTCTATGTTCAGCTGTTATGTAAATGGGCCAGATTTTGTGTATAGACAGGTTATAGCTTTACAGTTTATTTGGCTGCTTTAAAGCTTTAGAATATGTTTCACTGATCTCTGAGCAGTTTCTATAGCAGGTCTGACAATTATTTTTATCATGAGGTCTGTGGAATTCAATTCACACATTTTGAACAAGTTTCCCATCTGGATGGGCTGCTAGATCTGAAACCAGTTGGTAATAGCTGTCTTTTTGATATTTTTTTTTCTTCAGCTCCACCTTATTTAGAAGTTATTGTTAACAGTTAGTCTTTTGAGTATGAGGTTCAGTCCTGTAAATGTTGAAAGGAGATTTAAGTTTGAAATGTCCATTCAATTTGACCCTTCTCTGTCTTGACTTTGTTTTCTTTAACGTAAAACAGGTGAGTTGGTTCTTTTCAGTAACTGTGCTCTGACTGTTCAGGGTACGATGTGTGCTCATATTCCAGGACTAGACTGCTCTCTTCAAGTGAACTAGAGAGTCATCATTAGTGGTTGTCATGCTGTGCTACACTCCAGTCACTGCTATTGTGACATCTTGGACATAAGCTCAGTCCAGTACTTAAGTATAAAATGATCTTTTCCCACCCGAATTTAAGGAGAAAGGCTTGACCATCCATCTCTTACAAGTTAAGTTATAGATTTAGGAGTAGAACCAAAGATGGGGAAGTAATTGAAGCAGACCTATTACACAGACAGTGTATAGTCAGTGCTCAGGGGTGCAGTTAGGTTTCTGAGGAGAAAGGTTTTCTGGTGCACCCACTCTGCTCTTTCCTGATAAGATCAAAATACTTCTTGGGAAAAACTTTGAAAGAAGTTGACTTAGATAAAGAACAAATTGTCTTAGGCAGACTTGGTAAAAATATAAGTATTTAGGAATGTATTATCTCCTGAAATTAATATTAAAGATACTAATTTGTTTAATCTGATATATTTATATAATTTATCTTCTGTCCTCCTTTATCACGCTTTGCTCTGACAAGATAGGGTAAAAAGAAACATGAATTTATTTACACACAACAGAACTAATATGTGAAGACTTGGAACAATATATACAGAGATCATAAAACATCTTCCTTCAAAATACGTTGCATTAAAATAGAAGCAATAACAGGGATCAGGGATTTCTATTCTTTCTAGAAAAACAATAAACACTGACAGCAACAGAGGCAGAATTTTAAACTTATTAAAGAACCTTGTGCTACAAACAGGACGCAGCAGTTAAATGTTACAGGCAAATAATTTATATTGGATGTTTTATTTTCCTAGCTCTGCGTTTGGTCATTTCAGCCTTGGGGTCTCTGACATGGCATCATGTCAAGTTAATTCCATATTTTATTACCATCTTGGCTGTTATGCAGGTTTTGCGTTGTCCGGAACTGGACTGCTGTTTATTATCTAAGCTGGAAGAGAGTAAATCTACCAATGCTCGTACCTGGGAACCTGCTGTCTTTGTCCAGTCTTCTGTTTTTGTTCAGTGTTTGCTTCTGCTCTGGCATTTGTTTCATTTTTTTCACTTTCAATGCTTGTTGTGAAAAGATTGTCATCAAGAACAAAGATGCTTTTATGTAAAGACTAGAAATATTTTTTTTTGGTTTGAAAGTTTTGTTCTAAATTCAGAATCAGTGACTGAACCAGTTACTGTACAGTCCTGGACTAGAAGCTAAGTGGGAACAAAAAGAGTGTTTTTATGCGTGTAGGCACAAGTGACACTTTCATTTTCAGAATTTGTAATAAGTTCTGGAAAATGACAATATATAACATTTCCTTTTTGTTCTTTGTTGTCAGAAAAATTATGAGAAGTTGAGTCTTCATAGTAGCAGCAATGGAGCAGCCAGTTGCAAAAGTCAATTTTCAGAAAATACTGACCTTCCAGTTGATGGTTGTCAGTCTGCATGTGGAAAATATGAGGAAGGAACATATGAAGAAATTCTGGTAGAGGATCACAGGACTATAGAGGAAGGTAGGCATTAGCAAAAGAAGCATCAGGGTGCTGATGCTGGTCAGAGGTGGGTTAAAAGCTTCTTTGTTTTGATTTTTATGTGCAGGTATGTTCTCTGAATTAGATGCTGAGCTGGATATACTTGACTACTCAAGCAGCTCCAGTTCAAGTAATTTGAAAGAGTCTGCTATTGGTAATATTCTTTAAGAATTAAGTGTGCACTAATTTCTAACAGCAAAGCAGTCGTTTATTCCAGAATGTTAGGGTATTTCATTATTTGTTGCACTATCTGAACTACCTAAGTAAAGAAAATAACTGTGCCTCTGTGGCAGCCATTTCCAGTTTAATGCATTTTGCATCTCATAGTCTTTGTGTAGCTTGTCTCCGTATTTTGCAGTAACGTCTGTGAAAGCTGGAATATTATTGGGCGACTTGACAAAGAAGGTAGTTTTAAATTTGAAGCCCTAAGATGACTAGTACTGATAAGAAACAGATGGAAGAGTGTGAAAAATAAAGTTGAAAGAGGCAGGCTTTAACTGTCTACATGAATTGGCTGAATGGAATTGAAGGAAGGCTTAATGATTAAAACAGGATTATGTGATAAAACAGAGCATTAATTCTGCTTATAGTTATTTATGGTAAGCAAATAGGAAAGCATCAGCTGTGTTGGGTGTTATCTTAAGTAACAGTTTTTTCTGATTATGTTCCAAATATGAAAATTTAAAAGAAAAAAACAAAAACACAGCTCTAACTGCTTTGAGTCACTTGCAAAATTGTGAGCTACCATGATGTACCTATTAAATGGGATGAGATTATGATTAGAGAAAATCAAAGAGCATTTTATACTAGAAAAAAGAGATGGATATTAGAGTTGAGCAAAATTTAAGATTTCCATTCATCCTGTTTAGTTCTGAAAGAAAATTTGTGGATGATTTAAAATGTACTTTTTAGTAAAGGGAATGTAGTCGTGTGAAGATTAACAAATATTATTGGTACAAGGTCCCAGGCTTCATAAAACATAGAATAACATTACTTTATCTGTTTGTAATCCTATCTGCTAGCTGGATTTCTTTCAGATTTTGGCCCAGGTGCTGAAGAAATATGACTACTTTTAATTGAAATGTCTAGCCATTAGCTCAGGGCAAATAAATGATTTAATAATTCTATTTAAAATCCATTAATATGATTTGCTAATTGTAACTGGATAGCCTGCCTTTCTAATGGCTGGAGGACCTGTGGCAGGCCAGCCCTGAGATTATTATCAAAGTTTTCTTTAAAAAATAATAATTTTAAAAAGCACTTTGTTGGTTTCTTATGCTAAGAGAGTAGCAGGAGAATGCTACGGGATACAGGGAAGCCTAGTCTAACTGTGGGAGAGGGCCTGCATAAAAGGAATCCCTTGAGGAAAAGCAGCTTGCGGAGACAAATGTTCTATTTTGTGTTTATACTGAAAAATAACTCATTGTGTGTCTCACAGAAATGTAATTAATTGTGAACTAGTTCAGCGTTGTAAACAGACATTTGAAATCTTTGTAGTTTGTAACTTGCCACGCCCAAAACATTAGTGGTAATGATTTCCTTGTAGTCTATTTTGCTTGACTGAGGTCTGGACATTAACAAAACATCAATTTTTTCTAATATTTGAATATTATGGTACCAGGTTTCCATATTTTTAATTAAATATTTTAAGTGGAAAGATCCAGTTGGTTCCTGTCAATCGCAGTAACTTTAATCAGCATTTCTAGAAATCATTATTCATTTTTCTCCCAGCATAGAGTTTAATTATTGTATAGATACTTCAAGATTGCTTTTTCAGAAAAATAACTCTGTAGTCTTATGTTCTTAAATCACCTCTAGTGTCTACTTAATGTTGAAGTCAGTGTTGTATATTGGTTGTAATTAATGCTGGCAAATGTTTCTTCTTTTCAAGGATAAAGAAAAGGTAGCTTTAAAAAAATAATTATAAATTCAGGATAATTAGGTATTACTTGGATTATGCTGCATTCATTACTGATAAATGGCTAACAGAGTTTGCATTATCAGCCATGGTTTTTTCAAGCATGTCAGCATTGCAGGGGAAAATGTGACTAATTTTCATCTAACTAACTTGGAAACTGCTAACACGAAGATGTGAGTTTTAGTTATGGGTATATTGATGAGGACCTTGAAAGGATTTGTCTAGTCATGCTGTCATCACATCATTCTCAGAATAAACATGATCTGCAACCGTAGAAAAATATCAGTCTAATTTAAAATTAGGGCGGTATCTTGTGTGATATGCTGAGTTGTTCATTGGCACTGAAGCTGGTATGCATTTGACAGTGTAATGGGGGTAAGCTTTTTTTATAGTCCACTATTGTCATAATGTTTTCAATAATTTTACATACTCTGATTTTCAATTATCCTTTAAGAAAAGGATTATTCTTCTTAGTCTAGACAATGTATTTCTACAAGACCAACTCCTTTACTCTCAAGATGGCCAAATGCAGGGTATGTAGATTCTGGAAGAGTTATTCCTGGTACTTGAAATGATTAATCCTACAGAAGCAAGATTCTATATATTTCAGAAGCATAGAGGCAGTAGTGACAGATGCATTTTTTTTTCCCCACCTGAAGTCCTATTAATTTGAAAACAGAAAGATTGACAGAGGGTAGGGCCATACTGAGTCAAAAGCAATGAAGAGTGATGGGATGATAAAAGTTTACTTGCTGCTGTTTTTTCTTGTTTTAAAATTACAAAGTTCCCAACTTTACCTTAACTTAGACACGTTTAAGAGATTTTTACTTGCTTTTGGTTTACAGTGTAACTGTACCTTCATTTCTGCTGGTAAAACCAAGTAGCAGGAAAATATATGATATATCTTAATGCATAGTAGTCCAGCAGAGCTAGTATGTCAGTTGAGTGAGAGTTTAAAAATTTACTCTATGTTTGGGAATGCTTTTTTTTGGAAAATAGTTTTTGTTTCCCTTAATCTTGTTCACTTAGACTGCAATTGGGACAGCATCCTAAATACAGTGAAAGACATTACTGTGTAAAACATTGTAAAACATCCTATTAGAAATCCTATGACCTTCCTCACAATAAAAATGAAGCATGCAATATATTCCTTTCAGAATTGCTCAACCACTGGCTTTTCATAAGGCTAAGAAGTCTCAATGTACAGTCCTACTGTGCTGCTGTATCTTTCTTAGAAGTTTTTTTGTTACTTCATAATTTAATTTATGTTTTCAGTGTTTGGGGTAACCTTTGATCTAACTTGTGACCAATAAGCAAAGACATTGATATTCAGGATTCCTTTCCTGAATTTCTGCAAAGCAATAGTATTCAGAGTTACCATGTAATGAAGACATCACAGATCTGCCTGAAGAATATTCTAGTGCTGTAACTGTAGAGGGGTCTCCTATATCTTTCTTTGAGCTTTTAGAAATATAACATGTTTACACAGTGCCAGGACTTGAGTTTTGTGCAGGTGATGCTCATATCCAGTTGAATCATTGGGGATTCTAGAACTAGGATGCTCTCAAAATAGGAACTCTGTATGTTGTATGTAGCAAATGATTGGGCTCTGAGTTTAGGTCATCGCTTAGCTCCACATTTAACTACTTTTGAGGATAACAAGGAACACTGTATGAAATGAAACTCCCATTCAGTAATGTTGCTTGCTGTCTGGAGTCAGTAATCTGCAGTCAACTACATTATATCTTGCAAGTTCTGTGATCACAGAGCTGAGCTTTTTTTTTTTTTTTGGCTTAGACCAGTTGCATTTGATGAGTTTAATGTTTTGAGAGGATATTTCTTCTTTCAATAACATGATTAGATAGTCTTGTAAGTCTTTAGGATAAGATTGTCTGACATCTGCTATATATGATTCTTTAGACTGTGAAGGGAAAGCTTAGGAAATTCCTTGAAAATTATTATTGCATCAAGAAAACTATCATTTGCACAATGGGCTGTCTGTGAAGAACCTTGGAGATCTTAGTGTTTTGTAGGCTTGCTCTTCCCGATTTATCTAAGATTCAGATTTCTCTTGAGACTTTGGGCTAATGGGTCTGTGTAGAAAATATCAACTAGAACAAGATCTGCTGAGACCCGGTTTTCCTGCATGATGCTGGAGTTAAGTTCAAAGTATGTTTATGTCAACTTCTGTTGCTGTACATGGAGTCCCTGCTAGTGAGAAAAGAACTTAGTTGTTTACTCTGCAAAAGGGCTTAATTAATGTGCTTGGGATTGGCCATTCCAGTGCACAGTGGTTTAAAGGACAGCTTACTAAGAGTATTTTGAATAAATAAAGGTAATTTGACCTTTCTCCTGAATAGATCATTAAACTGTCATTCAAAAAACCACATCCTTTGCTTCCATTTTGTTCAAAGAGAAACACCGAAGTTTTCTGCTGATGTGAAATCTTGATTCAGTGTTCCTACCGGTCTGATCAAACTTGAGAGGGTTTTCAGAGATTTTTTAGATAACATAGAAGTGAAAGTTAAAGCCAAAGCAAAAGTTATTATCTCCTCAGGTTTTTCTGATCTCATATCGTGTTATAAACTCTTCTCTTGAAATTACATGGTTGGGTGCCTGCAAGAGCAAAACACTAAACTGCCTATTAAAAGGTATTTATATGATTTGCACTTATTTCAATGCATGTTAAGAAGTTAAAGCCTTAGAAGTTGCTTTAATTACATCCGCTATTAAAGACCAAAGTAGCAGTCAGAGAAGTTCTTTATGCCTCATTTAATTTTTTTTTTTAAATGTCCTCAAGGAATCTTCATAGAGCTATTCAGAATAGAGAGGCTGATGAGAATTAAAAGCTTTGGCTTTTGCGTGTCTTTCACATTCTAACAAGAGTGGGCACAAAATAAGAGAGATGAAGGATGTGTATTTCGTTTTTCCTTGAGATCCTCTCGAACTGAGAAATATCCTCTTGCAAGGCATTTGAACAAAATATATTGCCTTGCTCTTCCTATCCCTGTCAAAGGAGTAACCATGGTAAAAGGAAATACAGTCCGGGTAACCCTGGGCTGAACATCAGGATACACAATGTGCTCCGTGACTTGTTAGTTAACTTGTCTGCATCTTAGTGGTTTTTCTTACTCCTTGTCTGGCTTTGTATGACTAGCATAACTCATACACAGAAGGCTAAGTATTATAAATAAAGTCTTTAGTGTTACGTGTGTGTATATACACATGAATGTTTGTTACAGTGATTTTTACATGTTTGAATCTCCTTGTGATTAGTTATTGAATAGATTATTTGGCTGTGTTTTCATAGTGACTAACACATAATGAGATTTTTCTCTCTGATGTAGCTGCTCAGTGGGTCTCTAACATAATAATAAGCAATAAAAATAGGGCTGAAGGATGTTTGCTATTGTTTAGTGATGTTCTGCATCATGATTTCTGTGGTTTTTTTGGTTCTGTTTTTTTGACATTAGTATTTTCCTAACTTTAGCATATGAATCAGAAAATACTATGTCTCTGCCATGTACAGTGAGTGGTGAGACAGATTCTGGTGTGAAATATCACGCACTTGTAAATACACTCATAAACTGGCAGATTAGCAAGTCAAATGTGGTGAGTCATCAAACTGATCAAGCAAATTTGGATATGAACCCTTTACTCATTGAAAGACCATTTATTTGAAACAGCCAAAGGGTATAGTATTTCAAACCCAATTTTGTGTATGAATACTTGGAAAAAGGTGTGTGTGTTTTTTATAAAATTCTAGCAAAGAGCTAGAATTCAAACTTAGCTTTCTAGCCAAGTGGCTTCTGGTACTAATTTTCATGAATATATTCACGTAATATATTGTGGTGTTTATTGTGTCTGAAGTTGGAACTCAAAATCCTTGCCCCAAGCAGCATGATTCAGGTTCAGTCAGTGCTTCTACTTTTGTATTTGTATTATTGTGTCTGCATCCTAAGCGGGTAAAATATCTGTTCCTTGAATAGGCACAATCATATTTTGCATGTCATTCTTTACTTTCTAGACAGTAGACACTGTCTTTGTCTATTTTTCTGTCTCAGTAAAAAGGTTAATTGAAGTACTTTTGCTTCTATGAGGGCCTAGTTTATTTGCTATTACATAGGTCAGTTTTTCTTACCTAACAGTCTTTTATGCTAGCTACTACAGAATTTTAACATCTGTTTTCCTAAGCAAACCATTAACAAGGAATAAAATTATTTCTTTTTCTTTCATTCTCTGTCTGTCTGTGTTTCTCCTTTTTAGGGAAACAGATTTGGCCTAAAAATGTATCGTTTCTTTTGGTTTTAAAGTGTGACAGATGCAAGCCTCCTTCAGGATTTTTTTTTTAAATTCAAAGGATATCAGAAAAGTAAGAAAAATAGAGGCACTATATTTCACAGTACAACACAAAGTATGTTTGAACACAAAAAGATTTAAGACTCTCAGAAATGTGTTTGCTCTACTGTTGCTCTAGAACTAATATAACTACTGTAACAAGACCAACAATGGGAAAATTAGTATAAATGTGACATAAAATCTTCTTTTTCTTATTTTCTATTTGAGTGATTAGTTCTTGTTTAATGGTAATGCTTGCAATGTTAGTAAGTGTGGAAAAAAATCTCATGTAGACAAAGATGAAGGGAATTTTATTAAAATCCATTAATTGTATGGGAAAATTGTTCTAGAATATTCTAATCTTACTATTCAGACTCTCAGTTAGCAGAATTATCTTTTCATTAAACATGCACTTATTCCTCATTCAAAATGAGATACTATTTGTAGGATAGAGTGGTCTCATACGTCCAAATTACCATGAAAAGATTGGTTTTACAGGAGTGTTTTAAGGCAAATGCTTAAGACTAAGATTTAAGGCAATGCTTTCCAAGCGTAGAAATAATAACATTACCCTTCCTTTTAGACATTTTTGGCACTATGCACTAATTATGTTAATGTTTACATACAGTTTTATTGCTTATTAGATGTTGGACCAATAACTGATCTTCAAAGTCTTAAATTCAGTAGGATTATATAAGAAGTGAGGTATTGTAGATGTTACTGCATATGAATAATTAGCTAATAGAACGGTGACAATAAAACCCTGGTGGAACAAGGTTTAGACAACCCCTCAAAGGTCCCCTGAAAAAGTGGACTCTATCCAGACTAGCGACAATGTTGTGGTTATAGCGGTAGCAGTAACTGTAATAATTGAATGCAAATCTTCTGTGGACATCTAGTCAATATGTATTGTTAGTATCTGTGAAATTCTGAAAGTGTTTCTTAAAATACTGTGCGGGGCTGAGATTTTAGTTTATGATTTAGGAAAATCTTCAATGCATCAAACAGTAACTCGATAATCAAATGGGGTTTGGAATTTATTTTGACACCATGTCTGGGAAATAGAAAATATTAACATGCATGTTTTGGTGTCTTTTTAAGCAGAAGATAATATTTATGTCCTTGTTTCAGATATAATTAAACAAAGTTTTAGTACTTCTGGAAGACAACCAAAGATAAGGTAGGTGTGATTTATATTTTTAATATAAATTATATAATCGATCACTGTTACGATCAATTCCAGTTGTTTGATTCACGGTGAAACAATTCTGCAATTCCCTTCGTGAAACATTTCCTTACTTACCATTACAGAGTCATATTGTATCAGCCTATGACACTCAGTCTGCTTGAAGATGTTGTAAGAGGGTGCTTGCACTCAAAAGCTTTACATGATAAATAGTTTTAAAAATGGACTTTGCTACATCAGCTAAACCGAATTATTTGGTCAGCCAAATTCTGGTTTTGTGTTTTTAAGCAGATGTTTTTCCATACAAAAATGTGTTTGTGTATTGGATAGTGTGGAGTATACTGTAGTAGTGTAGAGTAAGATCTTGTCCCTTTGAACTTCTCTAGACATAGAAACCCATTTTTTGTATTGTGGAGGCCCATTTACTTCAGAAAAAGAAACAAAAGAAGCAGAATGTGTCACGTCATCCCTCTTCCTCTTCTAAAGGTCTTCCTTATTCTTCTGTTGTTTATTTAGTACTGCATCAAACACATTCCTGACCAACCATTATTTTTTCTGATCTCCTTGGCACCACTCTTACTCACAGGCTCTGTTCTTTGTTTCTTTATTTCTGCTTTTCTTTCATATCTGAAAAAAAACCTCAAAATGACTCTTGGCTGCATCTGCCTCCTGAACAATTTTTTTCTTTTCACCTTTAACTTAGCTATGTAAGTATTTATAATGATGGCATTGATTCCTCTTGTGTTTCTCCACAGACACCATTTTAACCAAAGGCAATATTTTATTTTTGCTTTGAGAGTGGTTCTTAGCATGTCACCATCCAGTCTGTCACTTATCACTTCACAGCTTTAGTCCTGTTGCAGTCAGTAGTGGCAGCCTCCTCATGCTTGTGTTGAAGCAAGCATGTCTTTTTCTCTCTGTACAAATTCACTAGTCCACAAATCTCTGTCCCTCACATAATCATTAGAAAAGCTATCTCCTTATCTATCTTCATAACTACTCCTTGAAACTGTAGTTTTCCCTACTGCCACAAAAATATATACAAATTCTTGCCATACTCAGACTATCACAGCTGGCACCCATCAGGACATCATATCGGTTCATTCCGTTTCCTCTCTGTTCATATTCGTTTTTTGTTACTTATTTCAGCAAGTGAAATCTGCCAGCTGGGAAAGAGTTTGTGTAGAGTACAGAGCAGGATCTAACATTGAAACATGTAGACCTGTATTTCTAACATTGAGATATTGCTATCCTTGTGATGTAATATTATTTTTTTCCCCCATTTTACCAGTACTGTATGCATTATTACTCGTGTTTTTCTCCTCTAAACAATAATTGTTCTTCATGTTTTCCATCCATAAGAAGGGTTAACCAAAAGGTCCTTAAACATGTACAAGTGCATAATCTAGTGGATTATTGAGTTTTCAGTATTAAAATCCTCTCTACAGACTTTGTGTGTTCCAGGCTGAAAACTGAGCAGGGAAAGAAACTTTTATTTAGTAGAAGTTATGCTGGACACGCAGAGTAAGCCAGCCTTTATGTAACTTAAAAATGCACAGTTAAAAACTAGGGGATTTGGACAGATTTCCTTTAGAGGAAACATGAGATGTAGTCAGGAAATACTGTTATTTTATTTACAGTCGTTGATGCCAAACACAATTAAAACGTTTTTTTTTTCCAACTAATGAAAGGGATTATGTTGACAGTCCTGGATCAAGATTGCGACCAGGTAATTTCATGCTTGCAAGAAATTAAAACTTTAGCTTAAATTAAACCTAACGATTTCCGAGTTTTAAGCATTATTACGTTATTCTCCTGTTGCATATAGAGTGTTTTCTCATAGTCTACCAGTTGCAGATCTTTACAATATGAAATGTTATGGTTTTATCTAATATTTGTATTTTAAAATATTAGAAAATGAGACAATTACATTTCACATACAAGTATGTTGTCTGAAATATCATTAAGGTACTTCTTAAAAATATGAATTCCAATAGTAAATCAGTAAGACCTCATTTTAATGGTCATTATCCTGGCTAAACTTCTGCTGAATGCAATTAGAATTTCCCCTGAGAAATGAGTTTTCATAGAGCCCTTGTAAACTATCATGTATTTATACATCGTGATTGATGAAACAAGTTTTCTATTTGAGGTACTTTTCTTTCTTACTGAGAAGCTTCACATACTGTGAGCTGCTAAGCTGTGATTTCAGAATGCATATTGTCTGAATTAAATAATACTTGAAAGAAAATTATTTTGAGCAGTTGAGATATTGATCATAAAAAAGTGCTTTTTGTCTATACTAAGTTCTATTTTACATTTTTCATATAAAAATTCTATTACAATTTTTCATTATGCAGTACAAATCAAAATTTGATGTCAACCTTCTGCAGTTTCAGTGCTGTTTACTAAAAAGTGCCATTATAATAACAACACAGTTAAAACCCACTATCCAGCCGTAATGTATCAGAGATATCATGATTTACAGACAAATGCTTTAGCCTTTGTTGATATTTTCAGTTCTGTGGGTAATTTGAGTAGATCCAATATCTTTTTTCAGTGATGTTTCCCTTTTGGATAAAAGTCTTAAAAGCTTTGATCAAGTCTTCAGCAGCCTATTCACACATGTGTGCCCTCATCCTCCAAATAATGCTATACTTCTGTATTTAAAAACAACCCAACAAACAAGAAACTTGGAGCATCTGGAGTGTATGGACTTTGAGGGTACTCCTGAAGTTCCTAGCTTAACATTGGGTCTTCAGCTGTCTTTGAAACACCTGTACACTACAAGTAGACATTACATCTGGTCCTCCTAGATTTTTAGGTCATATAGTTGCTGTCATACTAGAAAAGAGAGAAAGTTCTGTACACTGAATAACAGGGAAATCCATGTTATATTCTACTCAGTCATTTTTGTTTGCTGTTATCATTCTAAACATATTTTTGTTCAGAAAAAATTCTGAAGACACACAAAAGAAAGGGCACTGATTTGTTTTCTTTTGGTTTGTTATACAAGCCATTGACAGGAAAAGAGAAGACAAATACCACAGAACAGGGAATAGCGAAAAAGATAACATGCCAAGAAAATAAAGGTTTTCTGACTGTCCTAATGAAAGCTGAAGATTCACAGGTCATAACAGCAAGACTGGGGATTGAATAGAACAGTGTTGAAACAGTTGGTAGAGAGGTGAAAATGAGGCAGAAAGAGCTAAATCCAAATTGTTTTTCCAGGGGTATGTATTTTAGATTATTACAGCATGGCTTCCACTGTCACCTTGACCAGAAAAAACAATCTAAATTCTTCTCTAAGTGACTCAGAGGAAATGCAAGACTTTTCCTCTTACTCATCATTAAGACAAGACTTAGGGAAAAAGTGTCAAACTGAATTTCACTTGACTCTGTCAACACATCTGCCAAAAGGCCACAAAACCCCCCCAGTAACAGCAATGACATCATCATCTTCCTGATCCTACTGGAAATGTGTCCCTCTGTGATGGAAAAGGACATTTTCTGTAACTCTCTATTTCTGTGATAGCACGGCTCAGAACTGAATGGTCCCTAGACACTTCAGTTTGTGAATGTCTGTCTTCTACTTCTTGTTAAAGTAGCCAGCACAGAAATTCAGCAACATTAGCATTTATATCTACAGATTTTAAACAATGTATGCTATTACTGTACTAAGGCAACAAAATGAGCTGCCCTCCTGATTTTACTCGTCATCTACAGCATCAGCAGGAATTGCTGTATCACAAAGGAAGGTGTGTCAGATCAGTGACCCCGTTCAGCAGATTCTTATTCAGCTCTACAAAATTATCTTCATCACTCAAGTATGCATTACTGTTGCTTCTGACATTCTATGCTTTTTAGTTATTTGCTGTTGTCAAAATGGTGGTACTGCAAAGTGCTGCTAATTTAGTCACTGTTCTTTAAAAACAACAGAACTTGACATTTTTGCAGATGGCAGGATGCTTTAAAAATATATCATTTAAATAAAGACTAACCCTGAATATTAGTATGTGGAGGATGGCAATAATTGAGTCATGTGAAAAAAAATCAGTGGCTCACCTCAGAAAAATGGGTTGTACAGTAAATTATTTTTACAACATTCCGTCATACTAGCAATACGATTATTTAAGGTGACAATATCATATACTGACTTGGAGAGTATATAAAATGCTTTCCTCTATAGCAATAGTTCCTAAATAACTTTAAAGTTAATACTTTCATGGGATTTTAGTGCAATAGTTCAAATCCTGAATATGTTAAATGTTTTGAAATGTTTTTAAATGTCAGATCTTTTTCAAACTTAAGACTTATTTTAAAATTAAGTTGAAATGCTTCGTAATGAAAGAGAGCTGAAGTTATTTCATGCTGATTCCAAAGCAAAAATGGAGCTGATACAAATCTACATTGAACTCTCCACTAAAAATGTGATGGAAAACTTTTTATTCTCTGGAAAGATGGCTGCCATGCAGCTACTTGCTATTCTTAAATAAATATCTTTTTGTTTTCCAAAATGAAGTGTTTATCTTCGGCATGTGATGTTTATCACCTCAGGGATTTTCAGATTGATGAGCCAAATTTGTTCAGTTTTGTTTAAAACAGAATAGCATAACTGAACTTGAGTGTACTTTGCATGTCTCTTTTCTTTCTTTTTTTTTTTATCCTTTTTAGCTGTCAAGCTTGTCAAAACAGGTAACACAGGAATTAAATTATCCGAGACAAAGAAATAATCATAATTTAAAATAATTGGAAATTATCTCCCTCTCCCACTAGCAGTAACAAGGCAGTTCAGTCTTTACATGGTATATTAGGAGTATGTCCAAGGTGCTCATTAGTGAACCTCTCCTCTCTGTTGAAGGTTTTATCAAGTGGCCTACTAATTAATAGAAGATATCACAACGTGGATGCCCAATAACTGAGAACTAACAGCAGCTCACAAACTGATTCAGAATTGACCAGTGAAGCAGCAGCAAGAACTTTGGTGCTTTTGGTGTCATTTGGTTTCAGAATGGGAAAGCAGAGAAACCAGGATCCATACCTGTGCTTGTTTACGCTGTACTATATGCTTCTCTTGTACTTGTTATGTTCTTACCAGTCTAAGGTCAAATATTTTTTATAATATATAGCTGGTTTATCAAACTCTTTTACATATTTCAGCTGACAATTCTAAACTGAAGTTTGCAAGGGAGAGTTCTTGCCTGTTAGTTCTTGGCTGCTAGCAGCCTTCTCAACCCAGTTTCCATGGGAACAAGAATCAGAGTGATCTCTGGAAAACAATGTAAAAAAAAACTTTTAAAAAAGCATTATGTAAATCCTTGGCCTTTTTTTTTTTTTTTTAACTGATCTGACAGCTGATTTCCTTAAAACAAAAGCTAAAATTGAACACTAGTGCCTAAGGCAACTCCAAGTTTCTGAAGCAGTGGACTTGTTTTTTACTGCTTCTGCTTCAGTATATCCCAGTATGCCCACGGTACATTAACTGCACACAGTTGATTGCACTGGTATGTAATCTATAGAGCATCTTGCAAGCCTTTCCTAAGGCATAATTTTTTTTACTGGCTTATGGGCTAAGGAACATTCAACACCTGACTTAAAGCGTATATGTAAGGCCTTATCTGCATGAAAAGAGAGTAGTATCTGTCTGTAACCAAAAACCTGTATGCAACCAGCTGTCTGGTGAAGTCTTTTGTGCGTAGAATGTGACTTTGATCTCTGGTTTGTCAGAGCAAATCAGGACTCCTGTGGGCCCAATAAAACTGTTCTGGATTTATAGCTGTCTAAAAACAGTAATTTGTTAACAGTGTTAACAGTGGGATAAATGTCTTTATAATGTGTACTGTGTCAGTGTTTGAATGTGAATTGTTAGTGGTCAAACCCTCCTTAAGTAGTCAAAGAGCTTCTGAATGCAGTGGAGTGGCACTTTATGAATTTATATCAATGATGTGAGTATAAAGTGTATACTAAATGGTAGAAAATCATATTTTTTCAAACGGTGCCTGCAGGTATAAGCAACTATACAGAAACAGCATAGACCATGGTTTCAAAAAGGTAGTAACATATCATCCAATTGTTGTCAGACTGAGTTGGTGTCATTGCAGTGCCCAATAGTGAAAACTTTACATTTACTGCTGCAGCATAAAAAATATTTAAAAGGAAAAGACATCCTTTGAACTCTATATTAAAGACTTTAAGCACTATAAAGTATGATTTGTACTTTTTAAAAAAATGTAAATGTAGATGAAATATGTATTCTTTTTCAACCAAAAAAATACAGGAGGAAAAAGTATACAAAATAAATTATGCTTTATAGACAAGTGAAATATAGATTACTTCCCACAGGTAGCTTCTAGCAAAAGAGACATTCTCAATTGTATTAACACCCATAATGACCTTAAAAGAGCCTGTTGAAGCAATTCTATGCACATTGAAGGTCTAAGCTTCTTGAAATTCCATTAATTTCAACTGAATCAACTCATTACAGCCATACAACCATAGTCTAATGGTTGATGGGCTTTATCTATAGAAAGTCATAGAATCAGCTGGGTTGGAAGGGAACTCTGAGATCATCAAGTCCAACTCTTGATCCACTACCACTGTGGTTACTAGACCATGGCACTAAGTGCCACATCCTGTCTTATCTTAAAAACCTCCTGGGATGGAGAATCCACTACTTCCTTGGGCAGCCCATTCCAATGTCTGATTACCCTCTCTGTAAAGAATTTCTTCCTAATATCTAACCTAAACCTCCCCTGGCACAGCTTAAGACCATGCCCTCTTGTCTTGCTGATAGTTGCCTGGGAAAAGAGACCAACCTCCACCTGGCTACAACCTCCTGGCTACAACCTCCTTTCAGGGAGTTGTAGAGAGTGATGAGGTCTCCCCTGAACCTCCTCTTCTCCAGGCTGAACAGCCCCAGCTCCCTCAGCCTCTCCTCATGGGACTTGTGCTCGAGTCCTAAATGTCCCAAATACTAGCACTTTGATCAGGGAGGCAAATCTAGTTGTACCTATGTTAGCCTTGTTATTATGGTGTTTACCTTCAACGCTAGAGGAACTGAGTTATATGATAAGCGTTGGCTTATCATAGTGGGTAAACCAAGGAGCCTTATTATAATATGCTATTAAATCAAGGCTTGTGCTGTTGTTTATCACCATGCTGTTAGATATCAGTGTTTCTTTTTGAAGTGTAGATCCTTTTTTCAATAATGGTACTGCTGCATGGATCACCTTTATGGAAGGTGTAACTGAGTGGTGGAAACATCTGTTTCTTTGTTTCATATAGCTTCCTCCAGCTTTGCAATGCAGCTTGAAAAGGAGAATCATTGAGAGGTTCAAGAAGTCCCTCTTCAGTCAGCAGAGCAATCCTTGTAATCTGAAATCAGAAAAGAAAAAGGTGTAGTGCACCATTTATTACATTGAATTTGTCCCTTTTTCTATTTGAATTATGCTATTGATATTAGTATCACAAAAATATAAGTGTAAGAGTCAATTTTTAAAAGGAAATATTTAGAATATTCTCTAGATATCTTTTATTTGGCAAATATGGAGGTTCATTAAGTAAGTAGTTTCTGTAGGTTGGTTTCAAGTTTTTGTCTCATCACTAGAACATTTTTTGTAAATGGAAAGGACCCGCAAGCTTCTAGCACACAAAATCAGACTTCATCTCATCAGAACTCATAAAGACAAGAGGAAGGGAAATGCAACTGGAGTTTATGTAAGCTCTTAATTTATGTAAGCTCTTCTTAATTTGTTAATAGTTTCTCAGTATTTTTCATGTTTTGGAATGTATTTCTACTCAAACCACTAATTTTAAGAAAGCAATGTCCCAGAGAGCCTTGAGTATAACATACTTTGTCCCATGGTTGCATAGTGTGTCAGCAACAGTTTAGTGTCATCATTTTAAAACCACTGCAGATTTGCAAGAATGGCCTGACTAAAGAACCGTGCCTACATATTTTCCAATGACAGGCTGGATGCTCTCCAACAGAGAAAGAACTAACAATAATATCAGAATTTCTACATGTTCCTTCAAAATCTCCTGAGAACACTGTAATCGGCAAAGGATCTGAAAATTACTTCCATGTCATCTGTGCACTGGGGGAGACTGAAGCTAAGACTGAATTAGTGACAAAGCAGTTATTAGGTATTTTATTGTACCTAAAATTTGATGACTAAGGTGATTTATTATCATTCACATAATTCTCCTGTGTGACCTAATTTGATTGTTACCTACTTATGCTGAATTGTGGAACCTTCTGCATCATTGTTTGCTACAAAATAGACTGACCCCAAATGCTGGATCCTTCCTATGCTTTTGTAATAATTAACCTCAGATGCTTAAGCTTCATGGAAGGTGGTTACTTAGTGTTTACTTTGGTTTACATTGGTAGTACATTAGAAAGATAATTAAAGATGTTTCTTTCTGAGCTATTGGTTTCATGCCAATTTGAAAACTGTAAATCAGGCTGCGACTTATATATTAAACAATTCTTGTATTTCACCCATAACGTTAAATCTAAGAAATATCTGCTCATTGTGTATTGAGTTGATGTTTTCAGAAAAGGATGCCCAAAAATAGGGTAAGAAAAAGGATATGTTTACTATAAAATTAACCTAATTTTCAAGTGTCTAGAAATAAATGAAACTATTCATAAATGTTATCAACAAATGTGAAATGGTGTTAGCTTTAAAACTATTGGATTTAAACCTCAAGAAAAGGGAAGAAATACTCTATTTAAAATGTAAATGGTAGCAAATTTAAAATGTTTCAAATGTTGTGTGCAATTCTGGGCATTTCCAACTTGAAGGAAATAGTTATAGAAACTATTAAAAGCGACAACAGGAAGTGCTGTTAGAAGGTTGGAGAATTGATAAGCATCGGTAAATAAATGTTAGGTGATTTACCAAAATTACCGCCATAAATGCACTGGGTAACATGGATATCATTTGGAGGTAGTGGAAGGAACCTAAATAGAGAAAAGAATTAGGTTGAACTCTTCCAACAAGTGTTAAGAGGTTGTGCAATTTCTGCAAATAAAATTTAAAAATAAAGCGATTTTAACTATGACAAATTAGAAAACCTAATTAGAATAACAGACAAAAAGATTCATCCACTCATCAGTGGTCGGGTAAAGGTCTTCCAGCAAGAGATAGTCTTCTGTTTCTGTAACTGTAAAAGTGTTATCATGCTGCAGAAATCATAACTGGAATTTCTTTCCTGCACACAAAGGTACTTTCCTGTCAGAGATGTTGCCAGTGGATGTTTTCAAAACTAGATGTTTTTAAGTTTAATATCAATATCCTTGTTCATATAATCAAGTAGTTCAACTGACTTTCAGGTTTCAGAAGTTCGGGCATCCCTCCAATGGGAACATAGCCTTGAATATAGCCTTGAATATAGGCTTGCAATTTCACTTGAAGACCCAGTTTTGAAAACGAGTTATCAGCTGCTTCTCTCCTTGGTTCAGGAAAATACACTTCCCTGTTAATCTTCACACAAATGTATCATTTATGACATTTTGTTCAGATAGTTTGAAGAACTCAGTGCTTTATACTAAGTGCAGATTGGCAGCTTGTAATGTTCAGTCAGTGTTTCTGGAGAGAAAAAGCTAGAATGTTCACAGTTGTGTTCACCACTTTTTGATTAATCTAAAAAGAGTTGAAATCTCTTGACTTTTGATTGCACTGGGAAACATAGGAAAGGGTAAACTGCCTCAGAAGTCTGAAGTTTTGGCAAATGGGAAGGATGGAGATTTCAGTTGTCTTTCTTTTCTTTTTCTTCCCCCCTCCCCCCCCCAGTTGCTGGAAGGTTCTCCTGAATTGATTGAGCCCAACATCTTCACAGCAGATTAGCATGTGGTACTTCTTTCTTCAGGTGGAAATATGTTGCTTCCACATGATAGAAAAAGTAAACAAAGCATCAAAACTTCTGTAGTGGCATATAGGTTTCTAATAAAATGTATGGTATCAAAGCAGAAGGAATTGCTGCTCCAAGATCTGTCTTCAAAGGCAACTGATTTTCATTATCAGGGTTTTTTTTTGTTTTGTTTTGTTTAATTCCTGGTGAGATGTGCAGTTCACCACTGCTGGAAATTTCTACTAATTTAAGAGAGTTTACTTTGGAATTACAAAGAATTATAAAAGATGCAAGTACTTTATGGTTCATCCATGAAAATTAATAGAAATGTTTGTAACCAAAAATGTCATACTTAAGATTTACCTGTCCTTGCACATGATTTTTAAACAAACTCTGTTCAAACCCTATGTTGTTCTTTTGTCATGTTTGGAACAGTTACAATGGATTGGTTTAATTATGTAGCTAGATCAAGCCATACAAACATAAGGAGGAAAATATGTGTATGTGTGTGTGTATATATATATATGTATATATACACTTCAGAAAATATAACAATATATATGTCAAATATACTTTGGAGAAGTGATACTCAGCATGACAAATAATAAACACCATGTTTAATCAAACCTACAGCTGTGGTATCATCCAGGGTGGGGAACCACAATTCCTGGTTCAGAGACTTGTTTTATTATGTGCTTCTTTGTGCAATGGACATAAGGGAAAAGTGCAGCCTGTATTTTGGTAACTGTGCCATTTACATTCTTCTAAATACAGGAAAAGCTGTGTTGAAATCCATGAGCTAGAGGATACAGTAACATTAAAAATCTGTGATGCCAGAAAGAAAAGTGAGAAGCTTTGGTTTTTATGGGCTTTGTGTTGAAACATTGTAGTTACATCATTTACACAGCTTATTGCAAAAACCAAAATTAATACTAGATGTCAAGGGTGATATTTGAGTAGGAAATGAGTTCCTAACAATCACTTTAAATATAAGCATTATTTTGTTCCCGGAGACAATGCAATTTTTGAGATGCTCATTATCAGTAATTTTTGAATCTCTTAACCTGCAGACAATACTTTTGTCCTCACAAATTGCTGCTGACTCTGTGCCCTTCCCACTATAAATTGTAAGTGGGAAAAAATAAGAAAGTTACATTTCCATGTTCTGTTTGATAAAGTCTTTATTTTCCATCAGTTTGGCCACTTTCATAATAAGCGCATCAAATGTTCGCATCATGCAAATGTTCACATTAGATGACCTCACCTTTTCAGGGGTTCATTGTGGTCAGTGGAAGTTACTGATAATGAAGCATCTCTCTTATCGTTATATTTGTAGTGGAATTGCTAAGAAACTTATAAGGGATCATAAATTCCAAATTCAGTAGTATAACATTACTTGCCTTTTTCTTTAAGGCATGGTTGGCACTTCTGACATGGCAGAAGGGGTGACATATGAGCAGTTGCAGGTAAGCTGTATGTATACCTATATGTATTCATTTATTACTGTTAATGAAGATAATTTACTGAAATTAAGTTCTTTTTCGTTGTAGACTCTAATTGAAGAGGTTCTAGAGGAAAGTGATTATTACAGTTTCTCTTCTAACAGGTCAGTCTAGTCAATTTAAAAAGAAAGAATTAATTATGATGTGCTAAAACCAAATGTATCATTGTCCTGTTTATGTGATTGCAATTTCACTTTAAACTTAGTGCAATATGTGGTTTATTATAATGCATGGATGCATGGACTGGAAGAAATGTATGTGGGACACATTAGCTAATCTAAGCAGGTTTTTTCGGCCATATCTGTTTTCTTCATTCAGATGAAAGAGTAGTAGAAGTATGGCAGCAATTTCCTCACGTTTTTCCACATATAAACCCACATCTGAACAAAAGGTTCACTGCATAGAAGTATATTTTACTTTAATAGTCTACCATTACAGGGTTGAAGGGATGAAGCTGATATATTTAGTAAAATACATGAGTACAGCACAAAAAGCAGTATAAGTGGTTACTAGCACAAAAGTGCAGGGGATGAAAAAAATGTAATGGTCTGTGAAACTAGGCAAATGCTTTGTCCTGGAGATGGTACATCTTTTCTGTGGGAATATTTTGAGGAAAGAAAATATATGAAACATATCAATATAGTCCACAACATAAGCCTAGCATTTCTCATATTTTTCACCTGCTAGCCTGTTATTTATCTTCTCAAATATTCTTTAGTGCAAAAAACCATTAACTACTTTCATCAAGTAGGTCTATTCTTGTCTTTGCAGTAGTCACCATTTTAAAGTCTGAGAGACTGCAGTTAGTTTTCTAAAACAAACAAACATACACCCACCCCACTCCCTTCCCCCCTAATAGAAATATTAAGAGGTTTTAAGAATTTATACTTCCTGTTGCCTCAGCGATATTTTCCAGTTTTTTTTAATCTCTGTAAACTTTCTGATATGGATTGACTCAAGTTTGAAAAATTTCTAATGATATTCTGAATATTTCTATAGGCTACTCGTTAAATTGGAATTCCAGCTTGCAAGTGTCTTGCAGCTGCCAGCTCAAAGTATTGAAAAATCATGATTCAACACTCCCAAAATAAAATATTACTTCAATCTCTAAACCTTCAGGGTATACTTGAATTATGTTTACAGATTACTGTTTCAGCCATGAGGTCTGACAAATTTGTTTATATGTGTGTTCAAATTCGAAAATTTTTGTCCTAATCCCAAGGTCCCAGGATTTGGTGATGTAGAAATAATATCACACGACTTATGAAAAAGAAAAATACTCTCATTTTTAACATCAAGATCTAAAAAGTCTTATTGTAAATGTACAAATGTGTTATAGTTGTGTAGACATTTATCTCACAGACTGCTAAAAAGTGTCTTAATTAATTGTAATGAAGCAGCTGTGTGCTAAATATGGACTTCTTTTTTTTTAGAAAAGCCACTACAAAGTTATCTATTGAAGGAAATCATAGAGTCACAGTGTATCTCATTTTAAAGGATCATTGAGTCCAAATCCCTGCTCCTCACAGGACTACCTAAAACTAAACTGTATGAATAAGAGCATCATCCAGACACTCCTTGAACTCTTGACAGGATTTGTGCCCTGATCACTTGCCTGGGGAGCCTGTTCCAATATCCAACCACCCATCCTAATGTCCGATCTGAACTTTCCCAGTGCAACTTTGTTCCGTTTCCTCATATCCTATTGTTGTAAATTTCATTGCTGAAGTGTAAAGGCTTCTTGAGATTGCAGGCACATATACTAATCCTTTCAATGTCTAACACAGGAGTGCCACAGAAATGCACATGAGACCAACAGCAGTGAAATAATTAACAGTATTTTTCTCCTGATTTATTCAGGATTACTTTTTTTTTCTGCTGTGCTGGAGTTCCCTAGAGAGTAGCAGTTCTGCAGAAGACTAAATTCAGATTCTAATTTTTTAAAAATTTTATTTTAAAGGAGACATAAGAGAACATTCTTCATAGCTACACAGGACAACAGTGTAGTATAAGGAATTCTTCTCTATACTATGTTTATTCTGCAGAAAGAAACAGGTAAAAGAGGAAGAGGTGCATTTTCATGCATACATAAAGTCTGGAGAATGCCAGTGGATGTTCAGCATCCTTCTTCACATTGGTGGATGCACTATGTATTTGATTTTTGTAGGAACATAGGAAAATTGGAAAGCACATTGTGTTTCCCCAGAGTCATGCCCTTTCTATGTTATCCACAATCAGTGTTGATTTGTGTTTTTTACATGGCACTTGTAGTGAAGACTTGATTGATTTTGGACCAACTAGATATCATAAGACCTAAATTGATTTTGGAATGAATTTTGGAGGAATGGAGTGAAATGTTCTCATAGGTACGAATCTCCTTACAAGTTAAGATTTATGTTGTCTAGATTTGACTTTTTTTTTTTTTAGTTGCTTAGAATTGATAATGGTGTGCAATAACAGCTATTGTAGACTTTGACCAACTCCACTGCATGTGTGTCACTATAACATGTCCTGGCTTTTGTTGGCAGATATAAAACAGTCATACTGCAGCCCTGTTGTTGGTCTATCACCAGCAACTTGATTTTTCAGTATGCTTTTTGTGGTGGGTTGACCCTGGCTTCATGCCAAGTATCCACCAAAGCCGCTCTATCACTCCCCTCTGCAACAGGACAGGGGAGAGAAAAATATAACAAAAGGCTAGGAATTGAGATAAGGACAAGGAGAGATCACTCATCGATTACTGTCATAGGCAGAAAAGACTCGAATTAGGAATATTAACTGAATTTGTTACCAAAAAATCATAGCAGGATAATTGAGAAGTAAAAAAATTTTTAAAAGCACCTTTCCCCACCTTTTCCTCCTTTCCAGGCTCTACCTCCTCCCCCACAGTGGCGCAGGAAGGTGGGAAAGGGGTGTATGGTCAGTTCATCACACGCTGTTCCTGCTACTGATCAGGAAGAAGAGTCCTTCCTCTGCTCCAGTGTGGGGTTCCTTCCACAGGAGACAGTTCTCCATGAATTTCTCCAGCGTGAGTCCATCCCATGGGCTACAGTTCTTTATGAACTGTTCCAGCATGGGTCACTTTTCCACAGGATGCAGTCCTTCAAGAACAGCCTGCTGTAGTGTGGGTCCCCCACAGGGTCATAAGTCCTACCAGCAAACCTTCTCCAGTGTGGGCTCCTCTCTCCATGGGTCTGCAGGTCCCTTCCTGGAGCCTACTCCAGCACAGGTTTCCCATGGGTTCACAGTTTCTTTTCGGACATCCACCCACTCCAGCATGGGTCTCCTTCACAGGCTGCAGGTGGATCTCTGCACTCCCATTAATCTTCATGGGCTACAGGGAAACAGCCTGTTTCACCATGGTCTTTCACCACAGGCTGCAGGGGAATGTGAGCTCTGGCACCTGGAACACCTCCTCTCATTCCTTCACTTGACCTTGGTATCTGCAGAGCTGTTCCTCTCACATATTCTCACTCCTCTCGTGTCTGAGTGCAATTAAATCTGCACAATAAACTTTCCTTAAATATATTATCGCAGATGTGTTACTATCATTCCTGATTGGAATTGGCCAGTGGTGTGTCCCTCCTGGCACTGGCATTGGCTCTGTTGGACATGGGAGAAGCTTCTGGCAGCTTCTCACAGAAGCCACTTGTGTAGCCCCCTCGCTACCAAAACCTGGCCAAGCAAACCCAGTACATTTTGAATCCTGTTATTTGCTGTGATGCATAATTTTGTTTGGTTCCCATCCCCACTATTACATTAATTGTTTCCCAGACAAGGTTCTACTCCCAAATAACTTATTATTTTTTCCTTTTCTTCCAGGGAATTGACAGACCACACTTTGGCCTTGGCTGTCAAAAACTTGTTTATATTTCCAGAGAACTTGCCATGTTTTCTGTAGTGTGTGCTGCTTGGTGCCAATCAGAGCTTTCAGAACTTGAGCAGTTTGGGTTGCTTCTTTTTTTTTTTTTTTTTTTTTTTTTTTTTTTTTTTTTTTTTTTTTTTTTTTTTTTTTTTTTTTTGCTGCTTGCACTCTCTCCAAATAGCCAAACAGTCCAGTTTTGATAGCTGTCCAGTATTGAATGATTCATTTGGCTGGCAGACATGAATCATTAGGTTTCACCTTGAACTCTCCAGCAGCTTAAGTGAGCTAGAAGAACAAATCAGTCTCCCAAGCTGCGCTGCAAGTCGCTTATTGGTGTCCACCATTATCTGGTTTTATTCCATCATGCAGTAATTGGTTTGCAGCCCTCTCTGCAACATCCTTTCAGCCATTCTTGCCTAAAGCTGTTTTGAGCCTTGCTCTACTTCCTCTCCTTTATACACAGTGAAACACTTCAGAAGCAACTGCAAATTTTCTGGCAGAAACTTAGTACATCCTGTGGCTTTCTTGGGATCCCTTTCTTAGAAAAGTGTTCACAGAAAAGCTTTAGAAAAAAGTACTAGGAGTAATGAGTATCTATATCATTTGCTTTAGCAACATATAGGACAATATTTTAATATTTATTTTAATATTTATTTTAAAACTTTCTTAACTTATGTTAAAAGCTTTTAGTTTAGATTGAGTTTTTCATTTTCTAAGATAGGAAGTTGTAATGATGCAGCATGTGTGGGCCTTTCGCAGTGGAAACAGTGTGACAGCACTTCTAGCAGGAAACAAATTGCCTTCCCTTCAGCCCATTATACATTTCTAGCTCTTCCAGTAGTAATGGGAAGAAAAAGAACTCCAAAGGCTCAAAAGCCCCTGGAGGACACATCAAAACACCACAAACTTAACTTGTGTTTCTTCATTTTAAGGCCAAATTTCTTCACAGTTTCTGGCCAAGTTGACTAGACAGTTTGTTGTAAGGCTACAAGTTGAATTCTGGTTTGGAACAAAGAACTGGGGCATGTGTGCTATGGCTAAAAGCACTACTAAATGCAGAATAAACAGCTAGGTATCATTATAATATAATCTTTTACCTCATTGTGGAGCATACTTTATAGAGAAAACATTCTGATAATATGTTTTATTTATTTTCAGGTTTGGGGAAATTTGTGTGTGGATTTTGTTTCTTTCCCATAACTGTTGCCCCTTGCTGTACCCTCCTGAAATTCCAATAATGTAAGATGGGAAACCAAACCTTAAGTGAGGCAATGACATGAAAATTGTAGTAGGACAAAAAAACTCTATAAAGGGTTAAAAATTATTCAAGTAACTTAATCAAGTGATGAGAGAAACATGAATTCTTTAGAAACTGAGACAGCTTCATAAGAAAAATGTCATGCTTTTTTTCCCCCCCATTTTCATTATAATAGTAATTACTATCTCAATACCAGTCATTTCATGGGGATTAATGACCAGCTGAGGATAATGACCCTGAGCTTTATCTTGGATAATCAACTTGTGCCCATTTATCACTAATCTCCTGAAATTACTCAGCACTCCAATTGTATTACTTATTTATACAGAAACTGGGTAAACAGGCAAAAAAACCCCCCCAAAACTCCTCCTGTAATGTTTCAAAATTATTCCATTCACATCCATTTTTTCTCTTTTTCACCTTCTGATTTAATATTTTACTGCACAAGAGACAGGCTCCTTGTTTGTGAAGCTATTTATGAATAGAACAATGAATGCTTGTTTCAAAATTTCATCATTTTTTTTATATTGAAGTACGCATGTAATACCCAAATTCATGTAGAAATCTATTTTTAATAAATTGCATGAAGAGACCTAATCCAAGCAGAAACTCAGTTATATGAAAAGAAGATTTGATATAAATAAACAAAAATAGCAATGGTCAGAGGAGAGTTGTGTTCAGCTGAGGGCTGTAGCTCTGTCGTGGTCTAACCCCCTGGGCAATTCAGTACCACTCACTCACTCCCCTGCAGTGGGACAGAGGAGAGAATTGAAAGAATAAAAATGAGAAAGCTTTTGGCTTGAGATAAAGACAGTTTAATAGGTAAAGCAAAAGCTGCATATCAAAGCAAAGCAAAGTAAGGAATTAATTCTGTGCTTCCCAACAGCAGGCAGATGCTCAGCCATTTCCAGTAAAACAGGACTTCATCATGTCTTATTGCTTAGGACGACAAGTCCATAACTCCAAATGTCCTGCCCTGCCCTTCCTTCCTCTTTGCTCCAGCTTTTATTGCAGAACATGATGCTATATGATGTGGAACTTGCCTTTGGTCAGTTGGAGTCAGCTGTCCCGGCTATGTCCCTTCCCAAATTCAATAATTGAAACACTAGTGTGTTGTCAACACCATTTTCAGCACAAATCCAAAACATAGCACCATACAAACCACTATGAAGAAATTTAACTTTATCCCAGCCAAAACCAGTACAAGCTCATATGACCATAGGTCTGTTTGTCAGAAATGTTGTTTCAACATTAGTTTTGTAGGAAGAAAAATTATTGCAATGCAAGTAAGAATGGAAGGAAACAGACTTCATAATGAAGTGCATATATTGATATGTTGTCATATATAATTTTCTTAACTTTCTTCAATGCAGTCTTTTCCATTGTTACTGAATTTTTAGAAATAGAGAAGCAACTATTCTTGTAGTTAAAGAGAGCTATTTTCATGAAGAGGAAAACCATCAAGTCTAGCTCTAATGATATCTATGCATTTTTAACTACTCAAAGAATAGCTCAAAGTATTATTCCCAGAGGGATTATATAGCTCAGGAATGACAGCAAGTTCTGAATTGTGCCCTTTTGAGTCAGCCCTCATTGTATTGGTTCTGTGGTCCATAATTTGAAAATAGAAATGCATTAATGGAGCTTTTTCTATCTGCAAATTCTTACCATGTTAATTAAGTATTCTTTAACACTTAATGCATCTCTTTAATTGTGTTAGATGACTAACGGATTCAAATTTGTACTTAGTTTAGTTAATGTTTTTTTAATGTTCTAGAACCTACCAAACCAGACAATAGATGACTGTACACAGCTCCAACACTCCTGGTATATAAAGTGGATTTTTTGACTTAGTGATATCTAGGTGATTTAAGACACTGCTACTTTTTATTCCCTCCTGGCACCCCTTCAGCTAATGTTGCCAGGCGTTTTCTGATAATTGTTTTCTTCCAAACGGTTGTCCATGTTGAGTCCTACTTCTTACACATACAAAAGATTGTTTTAGCCAGCAATGTTTATTAGAGTCATACCAATGTTCTGTTGAATTGTACTTCTACCCAAGGAGGTAAAAAAGTCTGCCAAAGTTCAGCAGTACTTTTTAACTATAGTTGTGATTATTTTTTCTTTTTCTTCTTCTTCTTTTTTTTTTTTTTTTGTAATTTCTAAACATGAATGGCTACAACAGTCTTTCATTCACCCTCCTGCAGTTCTGATGGCTACCAGCTGAGTGTCTGTGTGGCACCATTAGTATGTCGCTCTATTTTCTCAGGCCAGCATTAACTACACCTTTTAAGTTAGCTGTCCTTCCACTAAGAGGCAGTATTGGCCTACATTTCCTAAGTCACAGATCCTACAGAAATTAGAAGCAACACGAAAACCTGGGGTAGCAATTGATCCTACCTTCAACTCCATCCAGCTCCTAGGGGTAGACAGTGACTAATACTTGTCCCATTGATTAATACAGAGAGTTCCACCAACAATGAAACATTTGGCCAGGAGATGGATTAAAAGATATAGGGTTTGCTTCTGCACATGGCGATAGTCACACTGCTCCTTTCACACTTGCTAGAGACATAATTTTTACCAAATTGTTACAGCTGCACAAATGTTGGCTATACTCAGAAGCTACATGTGCCAGGCTTCATGGTAATGGTTGAAATCTAGAGAAATGATGACTTGTAAACTAGGAAAATGTATGCCTTGGATCCTAGGGTATTAGCAGCTGTACATGTCAAAATCAAATGCCCAGGTGTGAAAAACTTACTGCTAACTGTGTTTTTAGAGAATTACAGGAATATTCTGGTCACTTCAGGCATGACCTGAATGACAAAAAGAATTGGAAATTTTTTTTTCTGGTATTACAATACCATAATAAAGCACTTTTCCCACTTTGCTTAATAGGTTTTTTTTTTTTAAGTTTTTTTCCCTACGAAGCAGAATGATAGGGACTGTAGCAGAAACTACAGAAACTACTATTGCCCTCTAGCTGTTAGTTAGCATCAAGACTGATAGATTTGACTAGTCTTAGGTCTGCTAGGTATAAGAGGTATAACCTGGCTGTTTTTCATGACATTGTGTTGTGCAGAACAGAGAAGTGATCCAGGGATCTGTCTGGTGCAAGTACCAGAACAATCTGATCATGTGGTAGGACTGTCATTGATGCAGAATCTCTCCCCTCACTCAGCTGAAGATTCTCTTTAGCAATGAGATATGTGGAAAGGTGCATTTCACCTCTTGTTGGAAAAAATGAAAGATCATCTGACCTGAGTTTAGGCTGCCTGGTCGGTACAAAGTCACTGATACAGTTCAGTAATGTACACATGAAATTAAGTGGTCTCCTGACAATGGTAATGCCTGAAGTCCACACTGTCTGTTAGAAAATGTGCATGTGTATGAAGCTGTCTGTCAGCATTTGGACTGTGGGAATGACTGTTTTCAACAGCAGGCAGATGGCTCTGATCCCTTGCAGAGATCACATGCCCTGAGCTCTCAGACGTTCTTACATGAGCTCTCCATCTTT